TAAACTAATTTCTCAAAATCTGGCAGCTAATATTATTAACTTGTTCTACATAACTCCACTAGTGAGTGAGGCAGCTGAGATTTGAAGCAAGTTTGTTTGAATCCAAAGCCCATGAGAAACATGTTCAATTTGCATGGTGTTATAGGGCATAGTGATTTGTCATTCCCTGAGATTTCTTGCTACATGTTTTTTCACTGTGCAGTGAACGACCCATTTTCTCACAATAAGCCCCATAAAGACAAAAAGGGCAGGATCCTTTCTCTGGCATGTTATAAAACTGATTCTTTTTTTTTTTTTTTTTTCAATTGAGACAGGGTCCCGCTTTGTCATCCACGCTGGAGTGCAGTGGCGCAATCTTAGCTGACTGAAGCCTCTGCCTCCTGTGTTCAAGTGATTCTCATACCTCAGCCTCCCGAATAACTGGGATTATAGGCATGCGCCACCATGCCAAGCTAATTATTGTATTTTTAGTAGAGACGAGGTTTTGCCATGTTGGCCAGGCTGGTCTTGAACTCCTGGCCTCAAGTGATCCACCTACCTTGGCCTCTTCAAAGTGCTGGGATTACACATGTGAGCCACTGCACATGGCCAAAATTGATGAACATTCTTGAACTTAGTTACGTACTTACAGAAGATAGATGATATTTAGCTTCCCAAACAGCTTGTGGGTAAATTTTCTAATAAGGCTTTTGATACAATAAATATCCTGTGATTCTGTTCTTCGGCAATGAACAACTTCTACCTTTCCTCTTGGAGAAGTGAGTACTGACATTTTTTATCCTGTCCCCAAAAGAGAGAAAAAAAGTTCACTATTAATCTGATAAGACAAGTCAGTTTGGTTATAGTATGCACAAAACTGGACATTAATTCAATTTTCATAAGGTCAGAGCAAACATGGTATGAGAACACTGGTGTGACACGTTTTCCCCTGGGTGCAGTCTGTGACAACTGTCACTGCAAACCAGCCGATGTTCCTCCATAGGAGAATGAAGTTTCTGAGAACTGCCCTGATTAGAAGTTTCTGCAACTATATTCTTTGTTTCCAACAAAGCTGCTTTAAAAAAATTCTAACAATAGAATTGGAAAAACACTGAAAGGAATTATTTACAGATTCAGGGTCCTCTTATATTTAATTGGCCACGATGGCATGTGGTCAAGAGTTACTGGGGAAACATTCATAGCTGCTGCCTATGTTCTTAATAGAGTTCTCCAAACTGAAGCCCTGAAGGTCAGCAGTCTTGAGAGATATTTTGAGACCAGAAAAGTTCCACGGTTAAGTGTAGGAAATGCCCGCAATAGGCTTCCTGAAGGGCCACCAGGCCCATTAATATCTTTGAGAGGTTCCATAATAAAGCAACTTGTTTTCTTTGTATAATCCAGCCCACTCTTTCGGAACAGAATCTCTAAGGACAGCCACAGTGGAGCATCTAATGTTCCAGAAGGACACTTTGGGAAATGCTGTTGACAGAAACAATAGATCACAAAACTATTTCAATCTCTCTCTCATTGTCTCAATTTCTGTAAGTCTCTCTCTTTCTTCTCTGTTCTTTTACTTCTTTCCTTCCTAGGGAAAACCATTTTATTATATACTAGCCAGTGAGCTCAAAACAGGGAAAACAATGAAAGAGAGATTAATAACATCTAGATTCCTGATGCTAGCCATAAACATTTTCATTCTGGTTTTGGTTTTAAATTGAAAGCAAAATTGGAATGAGACATCCTGTTTGTGAAACGTATCATAAACTAATGCTACAAGTATATAACAAATCTGAATAAAATAAGAAAGTATAATTAGATAACTGAATTTGGTAAAAAGATAGCAAGAAAAGAAGAAAGAAAGCGAGCAAGGGAAATTCTCCAACCAGGTGGCAATGATGAGAGCAGTGGCTCAGGAAGTGATCAGATCTGACACAGGTTTTGGGGACAGAATGGACCTCACTCCAAAGAGAGAATTAAAAGTTAAACCACGCATCTACCTGGGACTTTGGAGGGATGGGCCCCTCGGTAAGTGAGGGGACTAGAAAAATTAAACTTATCAGTGAACTAGAAAAATTAAACTTACCAGCCCAAGAAAGTAACAAGCTTTCTCTACACAAAGCTCTAGGTAGAAAATAAAACAAAAATACTGCTGAGAAGTCCAAATTCTAGACTAAAGTGGGTCTGGCATTCTAATCCATACTACCTGTGTATTAGGAGAGTCACCAAGAACTTTAGATGATAGACCCTGAAACAGCCTATAAACTAAGTATATTTATGACAAAGAAATATAGAAAGAGAAACAGAAGTCAGGAGAAGTGAGCAGGTCATCATTAAAAAAAGAATAGAAACTTAAAAATAAAAAATGTGATTATTAAAATTTAAGAGACTGGGTTAAAAACAGACAAGAATAAAGAGAATAAGCTGGAAGATACTTATGAACAAATTATCTAGGAAAAAAAACATATAGAAACAGAAAATACAGAATTCAGTAAAGACACATGTAAGACAGAATAAAAACCATCTGTCTTACGGGAATTCCAGAAAGAAGAAATGAAACATTTGAAAATAATGGCTAATTATTTTTAGTATTGATGAAAGACATGAACCCTCAGTTCAGAGCAGAAATACAAATAAACCCCAAATATATAGTAGTAAAACTACAAAACCCTAAAGGCAAACAGAAAACTTAAAAAAAAAAAACATGATAAAAGACTGTCTACAAAAAAATAATTAGACTGACAGAATATTTCTATTCAGCAACATTAGAAGCACAGGGGTTAGCAAACTTCTAGAAAAGGCCAGATAACACATTAAGCTTTATGAGTCACATGTCTGCACAACTCTTCAACTCTGCCACAGTAGCACAATAACAACCAGAGACAGTATCAGCACAAATGAGCATGAATGCATTCCAACAAAATTTTACTTATGGAAACTGAAAATTGAGTTCTGCATTATTTTCATGTGCCATGTAATTTTTTTCTAATGTTTAAAGTGTAAACTATAAATAAAGTTTAATGCAATATATATACATATATACATTACATGTAATATATATGTATATATGTACATAATGCATAGATAATGTATAAGATATATCTATATTTTATAATATAGATATTTTATATATATCCCTAGCTCACTCATGTTCTATACAAAATAGTCAATGGGCTGAATTTCATCTATGACTCACAATTTTCTATTAGAATAGTGTTTTAAAAATATAAAGGGAAAAATAATCATTAACCTAGACTGATAAACCTAGCTAAACAATCATTTTTAAATGAAGATGAAATAAAGACAATTCATACGAAGACTGAAAGAAATTCAAAAAATCTTGTAGAAAGAACTAGGAGATGGTATATTCCGAGAAGAATAAAATTAAAATCAGAAAGAAGTGGAATACAAGATTAAATGCTGGGAAATAAGAAGGTAAACATGAAGGTAAATCTACAAAAGCACTGATGGCAAAAAGTAAGAAAGATAATACAGTTCCCCTCCCCCCGCCAAAAAAAAAAAAGAAGAAGAAGAAAAGAAAAAAAAGAGATGAACCGAATTGCCAGGCAACAAAAATGTATAGAAGGATGGTGATTAGAAGCAAAGTATTCTAACATGTTTGTACGTTTGAGCTAAGGCTAACGATGATTAAATCAATGATTCGTTTGCCAAATCAATTGTTTACAGTTAGACATTTAAGAAAAATCACGTAAAAGAAATATCTTTTTATTTTAATAGATATTTATTTTGTTAGGTGGCTTTATGAAAGTGATATAAAATCTCTAAATTTTGAAAAGTGAGATAAAATAAATAATATGATTAATAGAGGTATGGCAAATATATTGATGTTGTTTAGAACTGACTGTAATTTTAGAAATCTGCATAAATCTTTTTTGAAAGCAGTATCTGCAATACATAATCTGCATTGTGTATTACTACATACGTAAATATATATTTTCCCCAAACACCAAAAAAGAGCCTTTTGCAACTGTGGAAATTATCCTAACAAATGTGCTGCCAAGTCATGTCATTATACATTTGTCTAAACTCATAGATTATACAACATCAAGAGTAAACCCTAACATAAACTACAAACTTTGGGCGATAATGATGTGCCAGTGAAGGTTTACGATTGTAACAAACGTACCTCTCCAGAGTAGAATATTATTGAGAGTAGGAGGCTGTTGGAAGAGGAAGGAAGTACGATTACTGATAGTAGGAAGCTGTTGGAGGGGGGAAAACTTCGGTACCTTCTACTCAATTTTGCTGTGAACCTAAAACTTCTCTAAAAAGTTGTCTATTAAAAAAATTACCTTAACCTTTGCTTAATTTTTAAGTTTTTGAGGGCAGGTTATTATAATAGCTAACATTCAACAAGCACTTATCTTTAATCCTAGTGAAACAGATGTTACTATCCTTGTTTTATAGTTGAGGACATTGAGGCTAAGAAAATGTAATTAAGGCACACACAGAATTTAAACATGTTTTTTATCACAAGACAGTTGTTTTCTAGTTACTCTCTGTATTTTCTTTTTTTCCTAATATCTGACTTCAAAATATGTTACGTTATTTTTAATTCCAAACCTTAGAGTTAATTATTTGGGCACAACTATCCAGAAACCAGAAACGAGGGGGCGTGGACCCCAGAGCCTACAAGCCCTAAAATGAAATGAAGCGCCGGAAAGCCTAATGGGCGGCAGCTCGCCCCTTGGCATGCTGGGAATGTAGTTTCCTCGCTCTCCCTTCTTCCCCGCCCTCGAGCATCCAGACTGGAGCTTCGTTCCTACTCCCTTGCAGGCCGCCACGGCTCGACAGAGCCACTAGTCCTCGCCTGGTCGTCCCAGTTCCGGAGGCTGACCTGGGGATGCGCCCTTGACGCCCTGAACCGCAGTCCCTTTCTCGCTGCGAGGCAGGCCGGCGCTACCCACCTCACTCGCAGCTCCAGGACGCCGCACTCCACGCGTACCTGCGGGAGTACGCGCAGCCTGGTCACCGTGGAAACGGAGCCGCTTCCGTCGCGGTGCATGCGAGAGGTCAAAGGTCAGCATAGCGAGTTCCGCTTCCGGTTCCGGGATCTTGTTTGTTGTCAGAAAAGGTTCGTGGTTTCAGTGAGCTCTCGGAGCAGATCTAACGTCAGTGCGGAGGGCCAGGTGTCCCGAGGTCCGCTGCAGACATGGCGGCCTCTACTGCGGCCGGGAAACAGCGGATTCCCAAAGTGGCCAAGGTAGGCGATCGCGAGGGGCCTTGTGGCAGGTGGCCTAGGAGAGGGGCATCCCTTAGCCCTGGGGGTGCCTGGGGCGGAAGAGAGTGTTCCTGCCGGGGAGAAGGCTCACCATGAGAGATGAAGAGGAAGGATCAGCTGGTGGTGGGGCGTGGGCTCTTGTCATCGCGGAGCGCAACCCGCGTTGGCGTGGCCTTCGTTCTAGGGTGTTTGTGCAGTTGGGAGGAGTGGGATGGGTCAGTGAAGACTTACTGAGCCAAGCACTGCCCTGGACGCTGGGGAGCTACGCTCGGACGCTAACTACAGCAATACCCAAAACACGAGTTTGTGTATAAAGACGACCTTCCTAGATGTTACTGAGGCAAAGTAGAATATGCCATGGGCGTGAATAAGCGGGTCGTATGAAGGGGTCCTGAAAGTAAGTTTTGCTGAGAAAATGACCTTTAAGCTGAGACTTGAAAGCTGAATAGGAGTTAGCTCAGCTGACAGCGGAAGCCGAGAGTAGACGGAGTTGTATAGTATCGTAAGTTAATTAAACGGTAGATTGACTATCTGGTGTTTCCCTCGATAGCTGATACTCACCAAGTGCTTAACATGGGGCAGGCTTTGTCTCAGCCTTCACGGACACCCTCCCTCAAGTCTTTCTTGAGCCCAGATGACTCTCTTGAACTGGACCTTTACATAACCATTTATCTGACTCACAGAGGTAATGCATATAGAGCAAGTAACACTGTGTCGGGCACTTAGAGCTTATTAAATATGAGCTATCACCGTTATCATCATTACTTCACACGTGGCATTAAATGATTTTTTTATAATTCAATTACATAAACTTTTATTGGGCATCACTGGTCCAATGGAAATATAATGCACGCCACATATGGAATTTTAAGTTTTCTCATATCTACATTAAAAAGTAAAAAACAAAAAAAGGTGACATTAGTTTTAATAGTAGATATTTTATTTGACCTAATGTATCCAAAATATTATTTCAATATTAATCAGTATAAAAAATGTAATGAGGTCGTTTTTTTCATAGTCCATCTTCAAAACCAGAGTGTATTTTACAGTCCACTTCATTTTGTACTAACCATATGTGACTCACAGCTACTGTGCTGGACAGCACAGCTCTAAGCTGCATTAGACTGTAAGCTTCTAAGACCTCAACGAGCTTACAGCCTAATGATGGGAAGTTATTGAATTTTGCCTTGGACTTGAAGTGCCATGAAAAACCAAACTCAGTTATCCACCAGGGGCATTAGCTAAGTTGAAGAATTCTGTAAATGCAGGTTGTAATGCTATTAATAAGATGTGGTACACATCTTGATAAAACCTCTGGTCAGAATTTTACCTAGACTACCTCAAAGTTTATTATTATATTCATCTAAAAGGGAAAACTTGGCCGGGTGCGGTGGCTCAAGCCTGTAATCCCAGCACTTTGGGAGGCCGAGGCGGGTGGATCACGAGGTCGAGAGATCGAGACCATCCTGGTCAACATGTGAAACCCCGTCTCTACTAAAAATACAAAAAAAAAAAACTAGCTGGGCGTGGTGGCGCGTGCCTGTAATCCCAGCTACTCAGGAGGCTGAGGCAGGAGAATTGCCTGAGCCCAGGAGTCGGAGGTTGCGGTGAGCCGAGATCACGCCATTGCACTCCAGCCTGGGTAACAAGAGCGAAACTCCGTCTCAAAAAAAAAAAAGGGAAAACTTGCTATTATTTTTGCCACCGTTTTCTCTTGAGACTTTTACCTATGGCTTTGTAGTAGATACCATGAATAACAAAGAAAACAAAGTTTTTTTTCTTTTCAGTCTCATGGAGGAATGGGAACATGTCATACAAAGAGGGTATCTTGTGATAATACTAATGAAGTTTATATCCTAAAAAATGTATGCTTGTTTCTTAAACCTTGTGTGAAGAGCATCTACTAAAAATAGAAATGTTTTCTTTCTTAAAAGGTGAAAAACAAAGCCCCAGCTGAGGTACAGATAACTGCTGAACAGCTCTTAAGAGAGGCTAAAGAAAGAGAACTTGAGCTTCTTCCACCTCCACCTCAACAAAAGATCACAGATGAAGAAGAATTAAATGATTATAAACTAAGGAAAAGGAAGGTCAGTCGGTGTGATATCTTTCAGTCCACTAATTGTTAAGAATGTATCGGTAGTCTGGGGATGGTGTTGCACACCTGTAGTCCCAGCTACTTGGGAGGCTTAGGCAGGAGAATCACTTGAACCTGGGAGGTGGCGGTTGCAGTAAGTTGAGAACACGCCACTGCACTCCAGCCTGGTGACAGACTAAGACTCCGTCTCTAAAAAAAAAAAAATTTCTGTAGGGCAAGTTGAGGCTAGTGTTTGTAGCACATGAATAATGTACTTCTGGTTACCAGATAAAAGCATTTTTCTGAACTATACAAAATATGCCATGAATTGTCTGGTTAAAGTACAAAGAAATTGAATCTGCATAATTTTTGGTGCTGAATCAAACATGGGTGGAAGTTTAGCAGGTGGAACAACTGGAACTGGAAGGGGGTATCCTTAGTAAAACTGCACTGTATACTTCTGTCTATACCACCTTCTATGTATAGAGAGAAGGTGGTATAGACAGAAGGTGGTATAGGCCAGAATTGAGATCTGGCCAGGCACGGTGGCTCACACCTGTAATCCCAGGAATTTGGGAGGCCAAGGTCGGCAGATCACCTGAGGTTAGGAGTTGGAGACCAGCCTAGTCAACATGCTAGAACCCCATCTCTACCAAAATCACAAAAAAATTAGCCGGTTATGGTGGCAGATGCCTGTAATCTCAGCTACTCAGGAGGCTGAGATAGGAGAATCAGTGAAACCCGCGAGGCAGAGGCTGCAATGAGATTAGATCGCACCACTGCACTCCAGCCTGTGCGACAGAGTGAGACTTCATCACACAAAAACAAGGAATTGACATCTGCAAAAGGACCATGAGAAAAGACTTGGGATCTGATCTGACCTCCTCACTCTAGAACGTAGGACTGTTTTAAAGCATTAATGCTATTATGTATGCAATTCTGAGAATTACCAGAGGACTTAAAGGTAATATTCAAAAACATTTTTTATTAGGGACAAGCCTAGACTATTTTAAAGTATCAGTTAGTTGATTGTAACCTTCTGTAGTGGGTTTCTTATTCCTTAAGGATTCCGGGATGCAATTTCTGTTAAATATGAACAACATGAATTACCGTTTTAGTATAAGACTTTTACTAGACCAAGGGTGGTGTCGTTTTTAGTCATTTGCCCTTGGACTTGACCCTTTTTGCCTTCTTCCAGACTTTTGAAGATAACATAAGAAAAAACAGGACTGTGATTAGTAACTGGATAAAATACGCACAATGGGAAGAAAGCCTAAAGGAGATTCAAAGGTAAAATTGCTGAGAGTATAGTTTTATATATAAAGATTTGTAGGTTAACAGATACCAAAAAGAAAAGAAAAAAATTAAAGCACAAGTAAAAGATTATGCCTCCGATAGAAATGTTCAACTTTGGTTCCACGGAACCCTAGAGTTCCCTTGAGGGCCTCAGGAACATTGTGGTAGAAAAATCCTGGCAGGGAGTGGCAGGAGAGGCTTTAGAGATACATCTTGTCACTCAGCACACACTCTGTAGCTAAAGAAGCACAATTTCATCTGCTTTCTATGTGTTGAGATTTTTAAAAAAGTGTTTAGCTGAAAACCAATGGCCAAAAAAGTAAAAATTGCAATCTGGCCCTTCCTCTTGTCTAGCTTTCCTCATTCTCACCTCATACCTCCTGACCCCACTGCACCTGTGTATATGCCATTCCCTGAATATATCGTGTATCCTTATTGTGAGGCTTGGCTGTTCTTGCCTGGAATGAGCACTCCCTCCCCACCAATCTTAGTTTCCTGGTAAACTGGAACTTTCCTCAAGTTCTCATTTCTGGAGTTACTTACAACTTAGCCTTTTCTGCCAGACATTTTCATTTCTTCCTCTCTGCTTCCTGTGCAGATCTTGACTATGACATAAATCACATTGCATGATAATTGCATGCATGTCTTTCTATAGGACTTTGTAACGTACTTGAGAACATTGTAGTTTTCATCTTTTTATGCCCAGAACCTGGCTCATGGTAGACACCTAATAAAACATCAGGGCATTCCAGATAGTTTGAAATAACTGCTACACGTGTTGTATACACTACTTTTGATGCCTTGCAAATCTTGCTTCATAAGGGCTCGATCCATATACGAGCGTGCTTTAGATGTAGACTATCGAAACATTACACTCTGGCTGAAATACGCAGAAATGGAAATGAAGAATCGCCAAGTCAACCACGCACGAAATATCTGGGACCGGGCCATAACAACGCTGCCTCGAGTCAATCAGTTCTGGTAAGTTTCTGATCTAACAAAGCAGCTTTTGATAAACTAGAAAAGTTCCACATTTTCTGTGTTAATCGTGACGATAGTTTAATTTTACATTCTACTTTTTTTTTTTTAACCATAAATGCTTTTTAATGTCCCATAGTCTATTAAGTCCTAATCATAATGTTTAATAGCTTTGTAATCAAAACTAAAATTTTGATTGCAATTGTTCATAAGCTGCTTGTTGAACTAGGCAATTTTTAAGAAAAAATATTTTTTTCCAATGGTTCATCCTTTTTCAGATTTGTATTTCAATGACAAAACATGTTCAATTTAACCCTTAAGAAAGAGAAATCTTAAATCTTCTTCCCATTCAACAATGGAAGAACTAAAAATTACCACAGCAGATACTTTCGGGTGATTTTGTTAAAGGTACAAGTACACGTACATGGAGGAAATGTTGGGAAACATCGCCGGTGCCCGGCAGGTGTTTGAGCGCTGGATGGAGTGGCAGCCCGAGGAGCAAGCCTGGCACTCCTACATCAACTTTGAGCTGCGATACAAAGAGGTGGATCGGGCCCGCACCATTTATGAGCGATATATCCTTTGGACGAGATCTGTGTGGTGCCGTTATTGTCTTCGATGCTGCTGCTCCTGTTGAGCTGGCTCATGGTCAGGACACACAGTCGTTAATGTCAGGCAAGTCAAGAATGCCAGTTTATCAGCTTCCCTATGTTTTGTAGGGAAAGAGATTGGTCAAAAGGAAAATTTGTGATCTGGGTAACTGTTTAGTCTTTCCTGGTGAGCGCTTGGGTTTTTATTTTCATGCTGAAAACGAATGTTTCCTTGTGGAAAATGATATTCCTGGGGGATTGTTTCTAGGACCTCAAGGGGATACCAAAATCGGTGATGCTGATACCAAAATCACTGATATAAAATGGTGTAGTATTTGCTTGTAACCTATGCATAGCTTCCCATATAATTTAAATAATCTCTAGAATACTTAAACCTAATGCAATGTAAATGTTATGTAAATAATTGTTATTCTGTATATTTTAAGGAATAATAACCAAAAAAACTACACGTTCTGTACAGAAGCTTTCTTTTCCCTTGAAGACTTTCGATCTCAGGTTGGTGGAGTCCACAGACATGGAACCCACGGCTGGAGCACCAACCGTACTAAGGTTCTGGCTGCCACTGCCAGTCCTGTTTTTCTAAGGTTTGTGTCGGTCATTAGTACCATTGCTGGAGTTCATCCAGGACGTAGATGAGTTCAGTGACTCTTTAGCTCTGTGGCTCCAGTGAGTCATTTAACTCCTTTGAGACTTGGTATTCTCGCCTTAAAAACAAGAATAAAAACACCTTTGTTGCCGTTGTGAAGATTAAATTATACACACGAAAGCACTTTTAGAAACTGAAGTACAGTAATTCCTCATTATTCACAGATTCCATATTCGCAAAATCACATACTTGCTAAAATTTATTTGTAACTCCCCAAATCAGTAATTGTGGCACTTTCACAGTCGTTTGTGGACATGCATAGAGCATGAAATCCAACAAGGCGAGCCTCTGCCTTCTGGTTAACCTCATATAACCTTGCCCAGAGCTTGGAGAAAGAAGGTCTAGTCTCACACAGTTCAAGGAGCTCTGGCTGTGAGGGCCAGTTGTGGAGTTTGAATCCCTGTCAGTGGGGCAGCCTCAGTCTAGTCACTTAACATGTCTAAATCACTTTTCTTACAAAATAATGAAGATAGAGTCTGTTAGGATGAGTTCTTTTCAGGATTTAAGATGATCATGAATGTGAGATTGTATATATACATGTTTCCCCTAGGCATAGTGGTTCAGTACTCAATAATTAAATGTTCGAAGTGACTAAATAGACCATAACTACCACAAATAACGAGAATCAGCTTTTATTATGCAGTATTAAGATCTTTCTATTTTTTTACTCTTCTCTGCTCAGGTGACAATGTTAAGATCTTAATTATGTCTACTAATTTTAATATTATTAGCTTGACAAAAGCTTTTATAGCACTTGCTATGTGCTGGGCATTATTCTACATACTCTACAAATACTGTCATTTAATTCTCATAACAACCCTGCAGTGTAGGAACTTCTCCATCCTATAGGTGAGGGAACTGAGGCCTGAGAGATGAAGTAGCTTGACTAGGCTCTCATAGGTGCTGATGGAAATGGAATGTGAACCTAGAGGAGGGGCTTCAGAACTGATGCTCTTAACTTCTTTGTCGTATTTGAATATATTACCACTTTGGAAATTAATGATTTATTCAAGAAAGATAGATTAAAATGGCAGTTCAAAACTTTCTGCTTTGACTCTAGGTAGCAGTTTTCTTTTTATAGCACTTTTTTTCTTAATTATTAGTTCAAGTATTAATATTTTAATATAATTGGTGTCATTTATTGACCAGACCATTATTGACCATTTATGGTGCCATGTTCTTTTGGCCAGAAACTGTGCTAAGGGCTTAACATACATTTTTCTCATTTAAAGCTGGCAGTAATCTGGTGAGGTTGGCATTATTCTCTGTTAACCAATGAAACAGCTGAGACTTAAGACAAGTTCAGTGACTTATCCAAGATCACATGGTTAGTAATCTGGGTTGAGCTTTTTCTTTGCTTCCAAACTGGAGTTTGTACCCACTACTAAAATCTTAACTAAGCACTGGAGGAAGATAGAATGAGAAGGCGTAGCCCTGCCCTCAAGTAAGCCACCGTTTAGTTCTACACTTTTGTATGTGTTTTATTCCCCTAGAGTTGTAGTTTGAATTGTTGGGGTTTCCAGGCTTTGGTATGGTGTTAGTGTTTGCTTGTTTTTTAAGGCACGCTGTTTTTGCCTGGTATTTCCTTAATTCCCTTGCACTTGTCCTCGTGCACCCCGATGTTAAGAACTGGATCAAGTATGCCCGCTTTGAAGAAAAACACGCTTATTTTGCTCACGCACGGAAAGTGTATGAGAGAGCTGTGGAATTCTTTGGCGATGAACATATGGATGAGCACCTTTATGTTGCCTTTGCCAAGTTTGAAGAAAATCAGAAAGAGGTAGGTATGCTTAAGGAACTGTATTACACTGTAAAGCAGCTTAGCAAAGAGTACATTTTGTGCAGGGTGGCTTCATTTTCATTTTTTTCTTACATGCCCTTGGAGAAGATGTTTTCAAAACACAAAAATGCAACTTTTCACAGAGAGCTGCATATATATGTGATTAAACTACAGATTGGGAGCTGATTATAGATTGTATTATAACTGTCTTAATTGGGTTGTGCTTGTTTCAAAATTGAGACTTTTAGTCTTAATTCCCTTTAAACTGAGAGCTAGTCATTTGGCATCCTACATAAAGGACTTTACAGGTAATAAACATGGGAAACAAAAAGCATAAAGCCCCAGAACAGGAAGCAAAATTTAGAATGGAAACAGAGACTGCCCTACAAATAAGGCGAGGAGCTTGAGACCAGCCTGGGCAATATAGCAAGACTCTGTCTCAAAAAAAATTTGAGTGGGCCTGTTGGCGCACACCTACAGTCCCAGCTACTTGGGAAGCTGAGGCAGAAGTATCACTTGAGCCTAGGAGTTTGAGGCTACAGTGAGCTATGGTCATGCCATTGCACTCTAACGAGTGACAGCAAGACCCTATCTCAAAAAAAAAAAAAAAAAGGAGTTCAAGTAATATAGAATTGAGAGAGGTAGGCTGAGATGCATCCAAATACAGGTTTAGCATTTCCAGTCTGAAAATCCAAAACTCAAAATGTGAAACTTGTTGAGTGCTGACATGACACTCAAAGGAAATGTTCATTGGAACATTGAAGACTTTGGGTTTTTGGATTGGGGATGCTGAACCAGTAAGTGTAATGAAAATATTCCAATACTGGGAAAACATCCCAAATCCGAAACCCTTCTGGTACCAAATGCTTCAGACAAGAGATACTCAAAAGCATAAAGCCCCAGAACAGAAAACAAAATTTAGACCTGTACAAGGTCTTGTACAGACCGTGCTAGGGAGTTCAGATTCTGCTTGAGCCAGTAGGAAGCACTGAAAGGTTTTAAGCAGGACGGTGATTGGATATGATTTATATTTTAAAGAGAGTCCCTGGCTAATTCATGGAGAATGTGTGGGGGTGGATGGCAAAAGTGGAACCAGGGGAGACCAGTGGGGAGACTTTTGAATTGGTCCAGGTAAGCAGTGGAGCTTGATGGCTGGAGGCTGGAGAGAAGCAAAGGGCTGCATGGAAGAGGTAAATGGCAGGGCTTGTTCCAGGAGTGAATATGGAGAATGAGGAAAGGAGAGGAATCGAGGAGCACCTGAAGGTTTTGGCATGAGCAAGTATGTGACTCCAGGTTAGGCGGTACCTACTAAGATTGGGAAGATGGGGAAAGTTCCAGGGTGAGTGGGGAGGAAACAAGCTGAGTTCTGGACCTGTTTGAGATGTGCAGTGGACGTCCAATTGGCGGTGTTAGGTAGACAGTGTTAAATGTGGAGCTCAAAGCAGAGTACCGGTCCATCCTGACAGAGATACCTTCAACAAGAGGGAGAACAACATTTACTTTGGACATTATGAGGCCTCAAAATCTAACTTATAAGTAATATTTTGTTACATGTACTTTCCTTGCTGTGACTGGCATGAGAATATTGTGTTACAGAAGGTAATCATCCTCTCTGCATTTAGTTTGAAAGGGTACGAGTGATTTACAAGTATGCCCTGGACAGAATTTCAAAACAAGATGCCCAAGAACTCTTTAAAAATTACACCATCTTTGAGAAGAAGTTTGGTGATAGGCGGGGTATTGAAGATATCATTGTGAGCAAACGGAGATTCCAGTACGAAGAAGAAGTGAAGGTAAGCGCTGGTGTGGATGGTCAACTCTGCACATAGCCAAGATGTGCTCACCAATACTAGCAACACAAAGTAAGTAACAGCAAGTTAGCACTAGCAGTGATTACCCTCTTGATGATGTGCCTGTGATCAATTGGCAGCTATTTCAGACAAGTAGGAATAAACAAGGGTGATAGAAAAGGCAAGCAAACAACACTTGGATTTGCTCTGCCACTCACATGTTGAAGGTCATTTTGTTGATTGCTGATTATATGTAGAACTTAAGCAAAAGAAATGTGGAATCCATTTGAGCTCATTGTTGGAAGGAGGTGGAAGAGTCAGAGATTGGTCCAAAAACCTGTTTTTGCACATCACCTTTGAGCTTAACTGCCTGAACAAAAGATTTATGCTATGCAGGGTTCTATTGGCATCTCTTTTTCTGTAATGTGCTATTTTGATTTCAATTCAAAGAGAGTAGCATTTTCCTTCAGTATTCTGCTGTGTATTTAAAAATACTTTTGCTTAGTCTAATTGATATCTCCAAGCAAAAGACTAAGTCTGTTATTAAATGAGGTGGTAGGTTAGCAAGATATATTAATGATAAATTACTGTTAATTGGAAAGGCAAGTTTAACAATTGTGAGCATGATATAATTCTATTGTAATTTGGTTGCAGATATGTAGTTACATATATAAGCAAATGCATTAATAAGAAGAGGCATCTAATTATTGACTGTCTTGAAATTGATGGCTGTAGATGAAGGGGGCCTTGCTATGGGATACCTGGCCAGTAATCTATCCTCTGTATTTCTGTTTCTTTTCTATATATACATCTCAGGGATGGTGTTTGTAAAATGAGAGAACATGGAAAATTTAGAAGAAAAGGTGCTAAAATATGGAAAGTCAGGCTGGGGCCTTTTTTCAGCTCACTTAACCTGGCAAGCGCAGCTCTTGGTCTTGTTTTTTATTTATGAAACTGGTTGTCTTTCTAGGCGAATCCACACAATTATGATGCATGGTTTGATTACTTGCGCTTGGTGGAAAGTGACGCAGAAGCTGAAGCTGTACGAGAAGTCTACGAAAGGGCCATTGCCAACGTCCCACCCATTCAGGAGAAGAGGCACTGGAAGCGCTACATTTATCTTTGGATCAACTATGCACTCTATGAAGAATTGGAGGCAAAGGTGGGAAAAAAAAAAACAGAATTATGCATCAGCTGTTAATGGTTTTCTCTCCTCTGTATTCACAGCTCACCTATTGTGGATATTTATAATTCTTGAAACCAAGAAATTGAGTTTTAAATTTTTATAGGCTTCTATTCAGTCATACAGTTACATATTCACTCTGCAACATGTTAAACTCTGTGTGCTTGTTGTGGTCACACGTGGGGGTTATTTGTTTGGTTTGGTTTGTTTTTTACTTGATGCACAACAGGATATCAGGCGGAGCTTAAAAGGGAATGGTGAACCAGCCCTTAGTTTAATTAAATACAGTTTCCTGGATTTTCTCATTAATAGGAATAATCATGGCTAGATTATGCATTCTTGCTTTTAGGAAAAATCAAGTGGCATTTTTAGAAATCAGTTGTATTAACCTTCCGGGGTTGATCTGAGACTATAAAATATCTTTGTTTCTGCTATCAGGCAAAATGGATTTCTACAAAGAAGGACTTAGAGTTTGGTGGCTGTCTTGTTGGTGATTCTTAAATTGAAGTTTGATAATCATTCATACTTCAGATCATAAATGAAATTGGGGTTTGCAAGTAATAACTTGAGAAACATATTCAATGTTGAGGGTGTACATTTTTACTAGTATCAGTAAAATTAGTAACTAGTAAGATGAGTGTTAGCAGCAGCCTTCAATATTATGTGAAAATTTCTTATGCTAATACAGGATCCTGAGAGGACAAGACAGGTGTATCAAGCCTCTTTGGAACTAATTCCTCACAAAAAGGTATGTTTGCTCTAAAGTGTTCATTACAAACAGGTCAAAATCCTCTTGTTTTACTTGTGAAGGAATTCAGTGAAATACTATTGATTGATAAAATACTTCCCTGTGCTAGGCACCATAGACTAGCCTAAGACTGAGATATGTTCCTTGCCTCTGAAAACAGCTCACAGTCTAGGTTGGAGGACAACTTGCATTGACAAACAAATAAGGTTAGGTAATTCGAATAGGCTGAGTGGAAGGAAAGACGTCCATGCAGAGAGCACACAACGTGTAGGGAACACGGAGGCGGCTTGTTGGTAACAGTGCGTGTGTACATGCACGGATCAATGTGCCCCTTCTATAGATGGTTGAGATGTTACCTCTGCCTTGTTTCCCAGCATGAGAAATAATCTGTTTTTTCTTCTGTAGAAGTGTTGACTGAATTCCATTTTAGAATGGAGGTAGGACATTCTGGCCACATACAAGTATGTCCACAAAACAAAGTCTGTTCTGAGGAGAGGCTACCGTGTCATGCATTATAGGATCTGGGTCATGATTTGTGTCTCTAACTTCTGTGACGTGACTGAGGTCTTCTTTGCTTGTAAATAAGCAGAGTGCATCCCTCTTACTCTGAAGTTTTAGAGAAATTGAATTACCAATGGCCTTAGTTAATTTAAGTGTACTTTAATTTAATTTAATTTGAATGAGGCTTTTAAGCTAGATATTTTTGTGCTTTTGTTTTCTAGTTCACATTTGCCAAAATGTGGATACTCTATGCACAGTTTGAAATACGACAGAAAAATCTGTCATTAGCCAGAAGAGCATTGGTAAGTAAAGAAGGGATCAGGATGTCTCATTAAGTTCTCTGAGAAGGAAATTAAAATCTTGGTGCTTGGAAGTTATACAATTCCTACTTTAAAAAGCAACAGAAGTATTATGCCTTTGTAGCCTGGGAAATGTTAGAAAACATGCGTCCTGACTAATAATGCTTAAATGATTCTTATTACCTAGGGCAAATTAATATTCTGTTTCAACATTGGAAACTTCTCTAGCTACCAGTTACTAGATATTTCCACAGACTAGAATTGGTAATCTGATCCTGTGCAAACTTTTTGGTGTATTAAATGCACTTTTAATTGTTCTACATTTTTTTTTTTTTTAGACAAGGTTTTACTCTGCTGCCCAAGCTGGAGTGCAGTGGCACAATCTTGGATCACAGCAACCTCTGCCTCCTGGGCTCAAATGATCCTCCCACATTGGCCTCAGAATGCTGGAATTATAGGCATGAGCTACCATGCCTTGTCCTTTTTATTTATAGATATTATGCATCTGACATCCACATTCCCTAGGATATCCTTAGAAACTTTCAAATCTTAGTTTATTTACTTGCCCGGACAACTCTGGAACACTGCCGCTTGCTGAATGAATTAGAGAGTTTCCTTCAGCCTTTTGTTGAGAACCAGTAAACATTGTGATTTCACAGAGGGAAAGAACAGTAGGCCATGTTGACTTTGCAAGAATGATAGACTGGACAGGGAAAATGTGGCACATATACACCATAGAATATTATGCAGCCATCAAAAACGATGAGTTCGTGTCCTTTGTAGGGACATGGATGAACCTGGAAGCCATCATTCTCAGCAAACTGACACAAGAACGGAAAATCAAACACCGCATGTTCTCACTCATAGGCGGGTGTTGAACAATGAGAACACATGGACACAGGGAGGGGAGCATCACACACTGGGGTCTGTCGGGGGGGAAAAGGGAGGGACAGCGGAGGGTGGAGAGTTGGGGAGAGACAGCATGGGGAGAAATGCCAGATACAGGTGATGGGGAGGAAGGCAGCAAATCACCCTGCCACGTGTGTACCTATGCGACAATCTTGCATGTTCTTCACATGTACCCCAAAACCTAAAATGCCATAAAAAAATTTAAAGAAAGATTGCCTCAGCAGAAAACAGGCTTCAGGGCAGTGCAATAACTGTGCACAGATTGAATCCACTACAGTATCACAGTGGTCTGGTTATTTTTATTTTCCAGGGAACTTCCATAGGCAAATGTCCAAAGAACAAATTATTTAAAGTTTACATAGAATTGGAGCTACAGCTTCGAGAATTTGACAGATGCCGGAAGCTTTATGAAAAGTTCCTGGAATTTGGACCTGAAAATTGTACCTCATGGATTAAATTTGCTGAATTAGAGACAATCCTTGGTGATATTGATAGAGCACGGGCAATCTATGAATTAGCTATCAGTCAGCCACGTTTAGACATGCCAGAGGTAAGCTCTCAAGTCAATTATAATTTGGTTTGAGATACTTGTTTAGTCTTACTTTAGGTGACCATCTAAATATAGGTGTATTTTAGAGTATAAAGATGATCTAACTTAGTCTTTTCTACTCAGCTTAGGTTTGTAGGTGGAAAGGCAGGATGTGGGGGACAGGGGAAGTACCCCTCTAGTTAGATACCAGAGCACAGTAGACATCTAGGATGATGACGAGGATGACTTGGAATATCATGGGGTTGGGTGACTCCCCTTCTCCAACAGGGAAGCCTAAAGGGGCTGGGGAAGAAGCCAGGCAAAGAAGTAGCCAGCAGGCTGGCCCACTCAGAGAACAAGGAGGGTGGAGGTGGGAACTGTACATCCCTCTATTCTCCAAACCAGGATATCCTTGCAACTACTTTTGTCACTGTCCTGAAAGTGCTCTCCTGCCTTCAGTAGTTAAGCTTGACCCACAAGATAAGACCAAACCACAGCCAGGACCAATGTGAATCTCACCGGAGCCGTAGAACTCACCCAACCATTTTTTGTTAATCTCATGCACTAACATGACCCTGCATTTAATGTTTTGGCCTTCTGACTACATTAAGTCAGGGCTTTGTGTATCACTGAGTTTGTCAGTTTTCCTTGGCTCCTCTACCCAGAATGCCAACTCTCAAGTGTCCAGGCCACAGTTTATTCATCCTTATGCCCTGCCAGGCTGCATTGAGCCAGTAGGTACCTGTTCAGAGTCAACTCAACAAGCATTCACTGAACAGGTGCCCACTGGCTAAACCTGGGCCTGTCTTCTCTCTGGAAGCTCAATTGCACATGGCTGGAATATGAAAGAGTACCTGGGAGATGCCTGGCAAATTTCTTAGCTCTTGATAAACATTTGAAAAACTTCGAGAATCTCTAAGACTGAATCCAAGGCCGTTTTTCTGTAATCTGGAATTCTAGCCAAGTTTTGGCCGGCTTATAGATAACCAGTGTTATTTATCTTACCCACTTGTGTTCTTTAGTTGTTCAGTAAAAATCCCATGTTTCTACATGTAAATTAGAGTGATACTTAAGCTGTGCTTTAGATGGGGGCATGCTGCTTTGTAAATGTCAAGACTGACCAATTAACTTGTCTTTCTTAGGTGCTTTGGAAATCGTATATTGATTTTGAAATTGAGCAGGAAGAAACGGAAAGAACACGAAACCTTTACCGACGGTTGCTTCAACGGACACAGCATGTCAAGGTATTCTTCCTTTGTAGATGATCTTTCATTTTGTTTGAATCAGTCCTGAAGAAAATACTGTATTTCTTGTATTTTAAGTGTTTGGGTTTTTTTTTTCTTTTGTTTAATGACTGCCTTGCTTTTTAAGAGAAATGTGAGTCTCAGAGGACTTTGGAATGTTTGAAATGTTTAAACTTTATACCAGGTCATTTCTGCATGTGAATAGCTTGAGTATCACAAGATTGAAAAAAAGTTGAACTCTTTTTACAATTTTAAGACTGTGTCAGACATTTAATTGTAGAATGTTGAAATAAATGGCTTCAGTGTTTATTGGAAGCATATGTTCATTGTTTTGATCTGTGAAACACTAGTGATGAATGCATTAGTTTCAGATGTCATTAACTGGGAATTCGCATTATTATTATTACATTATTGTCTTCTGAGTGACATGGTTAATTTGGTTCAATAATACCTTTTTTTAAAGGTATGGATCAGCTTTGCTCAGTTTGAGTTGTCTTCAGGAAAAGAAGGAAGTTTGGCTAAATGCAGACAAATTTATGAAGAAGCCAACAAAAGCATGCGAAACTGTGAAGAAAAGGAAGAGAGACTTATGCTGCTGGAATCTTGGCGAAGCTTTGAAGAAGAATTTGGAACAGCATCAGATAAGGAGAGAGTAGACAAACTCATGCCAGAGAAAGTCAAGAAGAGAAGAAAGGTGCAGGCTGACGATGGGGTAAGACCTCTGCCCTGGGACTGTTCCTCTCACATCACATGAGTAGAAACACATCTGACTTTGAAATTTGTAGTTATTAAGTGGCATGTGTACATTGTTAAAATGGAAGCACACCACCTGGAGTAGTAGATGGTTGCAATCTGGCTGTTGTGGAAACACAGGGCAGAGCCTATGGTCCAGTCAGAGGTGGACAATGGGAAGGGATTGGCAAAGGTGTTTTGGTGATGGTTGAGTCTGGGAACTACATGAAGTGTGATATTTTTAGAGCATTAAATAGGAACGCAGCATGGAGGAAGCTGGTTCTGAACTTTCAGATAGGAGCCAATCCAGAGAAGGCTTGTAGGCGATAAGAAGGAGTTTGTTGGGAGTCAGTGAAGTCTGTTTTGCATAAAATGACGTGACCAGATTGCTAGCATCTCCTACTGGCAGACTCAACGGGCTTAGATTGGAGAAAGAAGACCCATCAGGAGGCAGTTTTTATAAGCCGAATAAGACATGGAAGGTGGAACTAGAACAGGGCCTGTTAGAACAATATTTGGGAAGTGGAATCAGTGACTGATAGAAGGTGAGGATGGGAGGGTATGGAGTTGGAATAATAATGCACAGATGTATGGCTTTTGCTACTGGATGAATGTTACATAAAAATGGTTGAACATTTTCTTAAATGTAAGACTGCACAATGCAGTTGGAGACACTCAACACCTTGGTTGGCTATAGAGTAGTTGTGCTTAGAGTTTTAGAATTTTTTTTTACCAGTTCTTCAGTTCTCACTGAGCTGCAGTTGCTGCTTACTCACTCCCAGTCTTTCAGACCCAGCCCTTGTTCTTTCCATAGTAGACTTTGATGTTGTTCTGTAAAATGGAGGTAAGTTGAACTTCACCTCCAGGTTTCCTATAAAAATTCTTCACTCTGATATGTGAGTATATCAGCCACATGTTTGCTTATCTTTTAATCGTTTTATTTCTATAGTCTGATGCAGGCTGGGAAGAATACTTTGATTACATCTTTCCAGAAGATGCTGCCAACCAACCTAACCTCAAACTCTTGGCCATGGCCAAACTATGGAAGAAACAGCAGCAGGAAAAGGAGGATGCTGAACACAGCCCAGATGAGGATGTCGATGAGACTGAATCCTGATCTTTTTTCCATATTGACAAATGTTTTGTTATTTTTATAAATTAATTGTTTGGAACTTTTGTGACTCCCGGAAGTTCTTATATATTTCACCAGTAAGAAATTGATTGGTACCTTTGATAGCTACTTTTTAAAGTTATTTTTTAAATTCCCTTGGGTTATCTAGTGGTGGGGATGGCAAGTAAAGGACTTTTTTAACTGCTGGATTTCTTTTTCCATCTGAGACCAAGCTTTTCTAATGTCTGTACACATCATGCATTAGGTAATGTAATTAAGATAACGTTTAGCATCTATTTTGGGTGTGAACTTGCAGACTTTTGAGCCTTTTTATTTTTAAGCTTTTTGGTTACATTCTATAGTAACTTTTCATATCATAACCATAGTTTATGCATTCATATGAAATGTGTAACTTCTTCATGTCTTCAGAGTCACAGACTTGAGTTCATTTCCCAGCCCTGCCACCCGTGATTATGTAACTTAATTTTCATTTTCCTCATAAAATGGGCCAATACTTTGGCAACTCATTTTGAAGATTATATTACAAAAAGAATATACCTGGTGCATAGTAAGTGCTCAGTAAAATGTTTGTTCTAAGCCACTTTTATTTTTTTTTTATTTTTAAAGATGGGGTTTCACCATGTTGGTCAGGCTGGTCTTGAACTCCCGACCTCAGGTGATCTGCCTGCCTTGGCCTCCAAAGTGCTTGGATTACAGGCGTGAGCCACCATGCCCAGCCACGTTCCACTTTTAAAAATAGTTTCATTCCTTCTAGAATTGAATGTGAGTGGATTAATTTACCTTGTCTTCTACTAGTGGCCAGTTATATTAAGTGCTTTTTAGAACATTACTTGGAAAATAATTTGCAGTGATTATATTTCTGAACAAGGTTCAGAAAACATTGTTTACCAAGAATAATTTAGTCTAATTTCAGTTAGGCACTCATCAGTTCTCCAGAGTGGTAGAGATTTGCAATAGCTTGTTTAAAAGAATATGGCTTGTTGGGCCGGGCGCGGTGGCTCAAGCCTGTAATCCCAGCACTTTAGGAGGCCGAGGCGGGTGGATCACGAGGTCGAGAGATCGAGACCATCCTGGTCAACATGGTGAAACCCCGTCTCTACTAAAAATACAAAAAAATTAGCTGGGCATGGTGGCACGTGCCTGTAATTCCAGCTACTCAGGAGGCTGAGGCAGGAGAATTGCCTGAACCCAGGAGGCGGAGGTTGCGGGGAGCCGAGATCGCGCCATTGCACTCCAGCCTGGGTAACAAGAGCGAAACTCCGTCTCAAAAAAAAAAAAAAAAAAAAAGAATATGGCTTGTTTATATGTGTGCTACAAAAAATGATGTCCCATGTTCACATAAATTTGGGAAACGCTGGATTAAGACTTAAGTCTCATTAATCAAATCTCTTTATAGTTAGGCTTCTGTACATTATTTATCTCCAGTAGCAGTGTTGCTGTATTCTTTCCCAAACTTAGTGGACAATGGAGTTATTTCTACCTAGATTACCAGTTAACATCTCCAAGTGTGCTGTAGTAGAAAATGTCGGGAGGCTGAGGCAGGGCGGATCATGAGGTCAGGAGATCAAGACCATCTAACAGGGTAAAACCCTTTCTCTACTAAAAATATAAAAAATTAGCCGGGCATGGTAGCAGGTGCCTGTAGTCCCAGCTACTTGGGAGGCTGAGGCAGGAGAATCGCTTAAATGTGGGAGGCGGAGGTTGCAGGGAGCCGAGATCGTGCCACTGCATTCCAGCCTGGGCAAGACTCCGTCTCAAAAAAAAAAAAGAAAAAGAAATGTCTACTTAACATTGCTGACATGTTAAACTTACTCCTGGTTTAGAGCATGGGTAGAAACACCTAAGGTAGCTCTATGCTAAATAATGAAAAGTAGCACAGGAATGAATATATTTGCTGATACGTTGCTCACATTCTCAAGCAAAAACCTTTTGAGTGCATTAACTGATGTGAGAATTTATTTCCTTTAGTTTGGACTGTGTTTCTGAAGCACATTTGTTCTTTGTTCACTGCCAAGGACTAGAACTGTATTTTTAAGATCGTTTTCCCCTAAAAGGACCTTTAGTAAGCACATTTATTATTAAATATGCAAATGTCTTATTCACCCAAGGGAATAAATGCTACTTCATAATGTTACTAAATTTTATCTTGAAAATAGCATACAGTGTTAAGAGGACAGAAGAAAATAGGGCTGTTAAGATAAAAGGCAGTTCTGTTTTCAGCCTGACTGCTTTAGTCACCAGACCAGCCAGCATCAGCTGCTGCGGTTTCAGATCACATCTCAAGTAGAGGTCTGTCTAATGAGTGAGCAGGAGAACATCATCTTAATAGCCTTTGGCTCATCCGCAAGTCAGGGAGTGGGATGAAAACAAGTCAGAATGCAAGTCACTTAATCACAGTCTTCCTAGAATTATCCATTTATGTTGCGTGTATGCCTAAGAAAATAATTCTTTCATGTTCCCAGGGTAAATTCTAACAAGCATGTACCAGTGTGAGAGTTTGAAGGAAAAAGCTGTTCTCTAACAGAACACAAAGATTCATTTATCTCCCACACTCAACTCCAGCAAAATAAATTCTTTTAATAAAGTTTAATAATTTCTTGTGGGTTTTTCTTGTCTTTCACTAACTGGATATTTTCACATATTATAGAGGATGACACTACAGATAAGGAATTCTTTTTCCTCTCTAAAAATAAAACAACCTCAACAGCTTTTTTCTTTTTTCTTTTTTTAATAAGGGCAAGATTTAAGCAAAGCATTGTGAAGAGAAGAAAAGCTCTAGGACTAACAGTATGAATGCAGGTGACTGGGAAGAATTTACTAAACGATAAGAAGGGAACTCTTAAGTATGCTGGGCAGTGAATGCTTCAAATGTACATTTTAAAAATACTACATATGGAAGTCACAATTTAATTAAACAACATATCCTAAATGATGACCTTTCACAATCCTGATTTAGGTTTTTGTTTTTGTTTTGTTTTTTTTGAGGCTGGGTCTCACTCTTGTTGCCGACTGGAGTGCAGTGGCATGGTCTCCAGCTCACTGCAACCTCCACCTCCAGGGTTCAAGCAATGCTGTGCTTCAGCTTCTGTGTAGCTGGGATGCCTGGCTAATTTTTGTATTTTTTAGTATAGATGGTATTTTTAGTATAGGTTTTGGCCAGGCTGGTCTCGAACTCCTGACCTCAAGCAATCAGCCTAACTTTACCTCCCAAAGTACTGGGATTACAACTGTTTCAGTTTTACAAATGAATAACAAACTTCCAGAAAACATTCATACAGTCAACAATGTGTTTTATTATACATCTTAGATTTATACATTTCATATATGCTTTTAAAGCTTCAATTAACAGTTCAATACAAAATTTAAAAACAAATATATGCAGCAGTGGTTCTCAGGCACAGCATTTAGGAGGAGACAGGAACAAGTCTTTTCCCTAGCATACACATAGTGACTATTATGAACCATAACAGTGGTTATGTTTCCTTCTGACCTAGGTGCCTTTTCACTTGAATTTTGTTACAGTGAACAGCTTTCATAGGTATGATACTGCTAACTGGAAACAATGGGATTTAAAATAAATTGATAACCTGTATTTTCTTGAATCGTTAAGACCTAAAATGATTAATTTTCTCCTAATAGAGCTCCAGAATCATCCAATGAAAATAATATTGTCCATAAAGCATCTAGAGTATCTGCCTAAGAACCACTGCCCAGGGTTATTCAATGTCTTCAGGCCTCACAGGATGAGGTAATGGTATGATGGATTTCTTCTCTGTGTCCCTGGAAAGTGCTTTCCTCATATCTGTAAAGCAGCAAAGTTTAATATAAACACCCAAATGTATTATATCAAATTTAAAGTGTATAGGTGAAGTTCCCATAAGAGGTTTATCCTCTACCCCCACTTCCATCAGATTCTAAGCAAAGTATACTTAGAAATGAGTCTCCCAATTGCCAAGTATACCAGATGCTAACCAAACCCCACTCAGGATTCAGCTCACAATACATGTTCTTTCTTGTTAGTAAAATAACATGTCCATAACATAGTAAAACAGTAATGTATAGAAATTAACCACTGGTTAGTAGGTAAGTTAATTACTACTACTAATAGGTTCATAAATGTAGGTTGAGGGAGATTTAAATATTAAAGTATGATTCTTCTACATTTATTAAAATAACCAAATACTACAATCTGTAGAATGAATGTAACTATTTTGACGACTTCGTGAGGATAGTGCCATGGAAGGGAGCTTACCATAAGCGTCCTCATCAGGCTCCCCGTTGCTGGCTGAATAGTACTCTATGACTGTCCTGTATACACTGTAGCCCAATTGCTTGTACATGTTGACTGCAACTTGGTTAGATACTCTTACAAAGAGATCGACAAAAAAACCACCCTTTCTTTAAAAAAAAAAAAAAAAAAAAAAAGGAAAATGTTAGAATGTGGGAAACCCTAGAAAGTAAGAGATACGTATTTTTTAAAACGTGTGTTTTTACCTTGCTTTGACTACTACTCAGAATGGCAGTAATAAGACATCGCAGCTGATTACATGGTAATAGAAATTTATATTACTTAGGATTTATGACAATTACTTTGAAGACGACTTTATGTTTGCATGCTAGTATTTCAAAAGCTATGACACGTTTTCTTAAAAGATAAAGGCAATTGTTCTGCAGATTCACTACCTATTAGAGTTTCTCCTGTTTATGAACTTTATATACATGGAACCATACATTCTTTTGTCTTTTGCTTCTCTCAGTCAATGTTGTTAAGAGTCAGCTTCAAGAGTGGCTGGGCTTGTCCACCACAAGCCATTCATGGTCCTGCTGATAAACGTTTCTGGCTTTTACTATTACCAACGATGGTCCTATGAATACTTCTGTTGAACGTCTGATGTAAGGTCTATACCTAGGAGTCTCATTGTTGTGTCACAGGGTACAACTTCATTAGTTAATGCCAAACTTTTTCCAACTGGCTTGTACCAACTCACACTTGCACAGAAGCAAGTAAGCCTTCATTCCACAGTAGCAAGGCTTTGTGCA